GGAAGGAAGCCAGTGTGGCCAAAGCACTGGGAGACAGGGAAAGACTGACACAGGAGGAGCCGGGGAGTCGGCAGGTGATCGAGAATGATTTAATTTTAAGAGCGGCAGGAAATGATTTAAGGGTTTTTTACGCAGTGGAGGAGCTTAAGCAGATTTGCACTAAAAAGTTAGAGCGACTCAGAAGGCTGAAGAAGCAGCAGGAGGATCCTTGAGCCCAGGAGTTGGAGTCCAGGCGGGGTAGCACAGGGAGACCTCCCCCCATCTTTAAAAAAGAGAATTTAAAAAGTTATTGTGGATGCAGAGGAGCGCATGGGTTAGTGGGGCAAGTGTGTGTTTGGAGTGACCAGGAAGAATGCCACTGTGGCTAACGAGATCTCGAGGGCACGGTGGTCTTCTACGGGACACGGCAGGAGGGTGACAGGAGACACGTGGGTAGATTCAGAAGACATTTCGGAGTTGGACCCTGAGACTTTTGAGAAACGGAGGGTGAGGAAGTGGAGGTGGCCGCGGTGGCAGGAGCAGCCAGGAGGATGGCGGCTCCCTTCACTGAGGTAGGGGCACCTCCTTTTTTGTGTCTGAAACTCTCCTGTTTTACAATTAAGGAGCGTTAGCGCTGGCCTTTGAGACAGACGCACTGAACCACCCGGGCAGCAACGTCACCCGGGCAGCGGGCACAGTTGGGACTCAACTCAAGGGCTCTACCTGTGCCAGCTGTCCAGCCCTCGATGGCGCTCGGCCGCCTGACCTCCGCTCGGACTTCCCAGCTGAGCAGGGAGCCGCGTCGGTCCGGACTCTGGAGGCCCCGCCCCGCCCAGGCCCCCCGCGCTCCCTCGGCGGCGCCTCCTTCCCAGGCGGGCGGGGCTCCTGCCGGTCCGTCCCTCAGGCTGCCCGCTGAGCCCCGCCACTCGGCCAGGCAGGGACAGAGCCAGGGGGGCTCAGCCTGGAGGGCGGCGGAGTGTGCAGGGCGCAGCGAGGCCCCCAAGCTGGCACGCCTGCTTCCTCGGCCAGCGTCTACGGCTGCCTCCCTCTGTCCCTTTTCTGCCCTTCACAGATCATCGTCATTATCAAGTCCTACACTTGGAGCGCAGAAAGCCACCCCGTACGTGGCGGGTCTCCCACATCTGTTTATTCCGCCGGACCGCAGGCCGCGTGTGACCCAGCCACCTCGCTGTTCTGTGGGCTGCCCTCCGCCCTCGCCGCCGGGACCCCCCTCCCTGCCTCCCAGACGACCTGTGCTTCATTCCTTCCTGCCTCTGACATCCTCATAAATGTGCTGCCTCGTCTCCTACGTCCGTCCTTCGGGGTCCGCCCCCACCCATTACCTCTCGGCAGCACTGCGAAGCCTCTGTTTTCTCCCCGACCTGCAGCAGCCTCTCCCTCCTCCGGTCAATTTCACAGGTGTTTCCCAAAACCTTCAGACACTGCCCATTGCCTGTAGGGGAAGTGCAGGCTCTTCCGCCTGGTGCGGACCAGCAAGCTTTGCCTGAACTTCCTTTCCCACCTTTTCTTCTCACTTCCGCTTCCTGTGCCTACAAACCGGCCCCTCTGTGTATGTCTGGGCCTTGAGCCTTGGCTTCCGCCATTCTCAGTCCTCCTCCTCGTCTCAGAAATTAAAACCCCTCCCGTCCTTCCCAGCTCAATATGACCTCCCTGTCTCTTCCCCTTCAGCCTTTCCAGGCTGGAGAGTCTCCTTCCCAGGGCCTTGCAGCTCTGGGACCCTCCTCCCATCCCCATGGCTGCTGATTTTGCCCCATGGTTATTTGTGCTGGTGCCATGGGAAGAAGCTGCCCAGGAAAAAGATCAGGCTCTAAGAGAGGCTGATGCTCTCTCTTGCTGCAGGATGTTTAGTTGGAGGGGCTCCAGGCACCCAGGGAGAAATGTCCACACTTCCCTTCTAATCTGGAGGCTCCTGGAAGGGAGGGTCTATGGTGGGCTTGTCTCTACACCCCCAGCTCCCAGCACAGGGTGAGGCATGCGCAGGCACTCAGTGATGTCTGCCAAGCAAACAACTGAGGGCCAGATGTAGGGCCCAGAGGCAGGAGCTACTGGGGTTCAGGGAAAGGGATTAAGGTACCAAGGGAAGTTCCAGGAAAGAGAGATGGATCTATCTCCACTCAGCAGGCAGGGAAAAGAAGGAGGAGGGTAGATGGTGAAGACTTTCTGAGAGGGGAGGAAGGAATTTCTGGAGGAGGGGTGGGAGGTAAGCTGGGACTGCACCTGGGCTTGGGAGGAGGGACAGTGCAGGCATCTGGTGGTCCTGTCTGTGCAGAGGGTGCCAGGCAGAAGGGCAGGGGGCACAGGGTGGGGCACACATTAGAGCCAGAAGGAGATCCAATCTCCCACCCTGAGCTCTGTGTGATCTTAGGTACTGGTCAGGGTCCCTCGCCCCGTCCGCTCTGCGATGGAGTGGCCTGAGGAAAGTCCTTTTCAGAACCTGGTCCAAAAGCCTGCATGGGAGGAAAGCAGGAGAGGGAAGCCGAAGACCTCTGTCTGTGTGCCAGCTCATGTTTTGTGCTTGCCAAGTCCCAGGAGGGATACTGGGAAGGTGGGGATCTCAGCCAAGTACACAGCTTATTCCCGGAGGGGCAAGGGGCCCCCATCGGGAGGTTGGGCTGGTGGCGTGGGTAGCAGGGGGTCTGAGAGGCTTTTGGAGGCAAAACCTGAGGACTGATCTGAAACAGGGGCAGGGGGAGGAATCACAGTCAGCAGAGAAGAGCGAGCCTGTGAGGTGTGTGGCTTCATCCACTGTCCTTGAACAGAGGTGATTGCCAAGGGGACAGGCTAGGACTGAAATCAGCTCTGGCTTACGGGGCCAGCCACAGTGTCAGGTCAGGGAGAGGGGGCCCCTTTCTCCCATTTGCACAAAGGCTCTGCTGGGGCCCGTGAGGCCCTGCTTTGGTCCCGTCTTTGCTCTCCCCAACTCCCCTTCCCTCCTTTGCCCCTCCTCCTCCCCTTCCTTCTATTTCACAGGTTCAATGCCTGTTCCTCCTCCCGACTCCCACTTTCGTGAAATGTAGTGAGTTCGGAGGAAAGGCTCCATCTCAGCCATTTCACCTCAAGAGGAAGATGTTTCCCATCTGTTTCCTGTTACCTTTGCAAGGAAAGCTTCCTCTCTGTTAAGTGGAGTGGGAAGGAGCAGTTTGGAGGGGTGAGAGTTGGGGGTTTCCTATGACCCCCTTGTCACTTACAAGGAGACACCTTTCTAACATGAATGCCCAGACCCCTGGGTGGAGTGGTCGGCCAGAAAAGCTCTTGAGGTTTGCTGGTTTGGGAGGAAAGGCTATAAATTCTGTTTACAACAAGCAACGGCTTCTGCAGCAGGAGGACCCACACATGAGCTGGGCTCTGTTAATGACTCATTCTTTGTGTTTGCCAAGCACATTCTCACCCTTGGGTTCATTTCATCTGTGAGTTTATTCAGTAAATATTTATTAAGCACCTACTATGTGCCATACCCACCTCTAGGCACAGAAAATGTAGCAACAATGAGAATAGGTGAGGTCCTGACTCATGGCAACAAATTGTAAAATAGAATGTCTGGTTGTGACAAGACCGTGAAGTCTAGCCAAGCAGGTGAGGGCATAGAGAATGAGGACACACAGGCGTGCACGCATATGTGTAAAGACATTTATTGTAAGGAATTGGCTCATGCAAATATGGAGGCTGACAAGTCCCAAGAGCTTCTAGGCTTAAGACCCAAGAAGGGTTGATGTTCAGTTCAAGTCTGAAGACTGGAAAAAAAAAGTAATGTCCCAGCTCGAAGACAGCCAGGCAGAGAGAATTCTCTCTTACTCAGCCTTTCTGCTCTGTTCAGGCCTTCGGCTGATTGGGCGAAGCCCATTCACATTAGGGAGGGTGATATGGTTTGGTTCTGTATCCCACCCAAATCTTATCTCAAATTGTAACCCGCACATCTCTAGGGAGAGACCTGGTGGGAGGTAATGGAATATGGGGTGGTCTTCCCCATGCTGTTCTCGTGATAGGGAGGGAGTTCTCAGAGGTCCAATGGTTTTATAAGGCAGTTTTCCCTTCTCTCTCTCTCTCTCTCTCTCTCTCTCTCTCTCTCTCTCTCTCCTGCCACCATGTAACACATGCCTGCTTCCCCTTCCACCATGATTGTAAGTTTCCTGAGGCCTCCCCAGTCATGTGGAACTGTGAGTTAATTAAACCTCCTTTGTGTATAAGTTACCAGTCTCAGGTTGTATCTTTATAGCAGTGAGAAAACAGACTAATACAGAGGGCCATCTGTTTTATACAGTCTACTGATTCAAATGTTAACCCCATCCAAAAACACCCTCAAAGACACACCCAGAAAAACATTTGACCAAATACCTGGGCACCCTGTGGCCAAGTCAAGTTGACACCTAGAATTCACCATCACAGCGCCTCTGAGAAGGTGTCACTTTGAGAAGAAACCTAGTGAGCAGTGGGGGTGAGCCATGAAGGAGAGTCATGGGGATCTATAGGAGAAGAGCACTCTGCCAGTGGTGACAGCAAGTGCAAAGGCCCTGAGGCAGAGGCATGGTTGGCTATGCGAGGCCCAGCAGGGTGGCCAGTGTGTCTGGAGGGGAGTGAACATGATGGGTGGAGAGGGCAACATGGTTTGAGAGGCAGCAGAGGGTGGGGTCTGGTTGGGGTGCACGCAAGATTATGCCTGACTTTATCATCCATGGTAGGGTTGTGGATTTTATTCTGAGTCAGATGGGAAGGTGGGAGGGAGGCTTTAAGCAGAGGTGAGACTGATCCGACATTGTATTTATTCATTTTCATTTTTTTTTTTTTAGAGATGGGATCTCACTCTGTCACCCAAGCAGGAGTGCAGTGGTGTGGCTGTGGCTCACAGCAGCCTTGAACTCCCTGCCTCAAGCCATTCCCCCCTCCTCAGCCTCCCGAATAGATAGGACTACAGCTGCATGCCACCATAACCAGCGAATTTATTTTAATTTTTTGCAGAGACAGGGCCTACCATGTTGTCCAAGCTGGTCTCGAGTTCCTTGCCTCAAGAGATCTGCCTGCCTCAGCCTCTGGAGTCGCTGGAGTTACAGGCGTGAAGACGCTGTTTGAAAGGGGTCACTCTGCTGTGTGGCGATGAGACTGTGAGGAGCAGGCTGGGAAAGGGGAGAGCTGTTTCCAGGTAAGAGGCAGTGGCTGCTGGAGCAGGTGAGAAGCCAGTTAGAGTCTTTTCAGAGACATAACAGTGTTTGTTGATGAAAGAGAGGTAAAGTGACGGGAAGGAGTCAGGGAGGACTCTGAGGTTTTTGCCCTAAAGCTGGAAATGGGACTTTCATTTCCTGATGTAGGAACAGGTGAGATCCCACAGGGAAAGCCTGCAGCACCGGAGACATGGAAGTGCCGGCCGTACAGATTCAGAAGAGGAGAAGCCTTGGAAGAGGAGGCCCCTGGGGTGCCGAGGGGAAAGTGCCCTCCATGGGAGCAGGCCCCTGTGTCAGTGCCGGGGCCTGCCATGCTTGCTGCTGTGCTCACCAGCCCTGCCTGGATCTTTGGCCTACGTGGCTCAGCTCAAGCCCACCAGGAGGGTGTCCCTACCCCACCGCCACCAGTGTCGTCCCTGTGTTAGTTCTGGCCTGGGCTGCAGCAAGGAAGGTGGGGCAGGAGGGAGTCAGGGACTGGAGTTCCAAGAGATTTCATGGGAACCATGCTGGTGGGGGTGGGACCCGGCAACCCCAGGAGCAGCCAGCACGGAAAGCTGCCATGGGCAAGTCTCCATTCCGTGGAAGACAGCAGTCCCCACTCAAGGTGTGCGTGGCTGCTGCCCCAGAGCTGCTGCCAGGTACGTGCCCCAGGTCCCAAGATGAGCACCTAAGAAGGGAAGGCCTGCTCCACGGGCAAGAAAGGGATTTTCTCCTCGTACTCCCGAGAGTGACCCAGGCCCACCCACAGGGAGGGAGGTGGACGCCTCCCTCAGGTCTCTCAGGTCTCTCTGTCCGCGAGTTCTCCACTGCAGCTTGCTCTGCAGCCACCCCCCCCATCCATGGCTACACACCCCACATTCTGGTCTCTTCCCTGGACCAGACTACAGAGCAGGGCCACTGTCTCCACTGCCTCCAGCTGGCCCCTGCTGACAAGCCCCTGTTGTATCAGGTTGGGAGCCTGGGGAAGGCATGGGGGCCCTTCTCCAGCAGGTCCTGATACCTCCTCGACACTTTCAGGAAAAGCAAGAGATAAACCATCGCATCCTGAGCTCTGCAGGGAACCAGAGGCGGACACCATTCATTCTGCAAACCTGCAGGGTTGACCCTTCCAGGACCTCCTCACCTCCTCCAGGGCTGCAGCCTCTAAGGCAGGTAAGACTGAGGCCGGGCTGGCTCAGGAACCTCTGTGTAGCATTGCTGACCTCACGTTACGGAAGCAGGAGGCCACTGGGAGATGCGGGGCTTAGCTGTCATCTTGGAGAAGTGGCTTATTTGAAATGGGCAGGAGCAATTTAATCAGGCTGAGCTGGCCTGGCCCTGAGACCCCTGCCTTCTCCATATCAGCAGCATCTGCTGAAAGCAGAGCGGAGCCCACGCCTGCAGGTTCAAAGATGTCTGTCCCCAAAGTCTCCACCAGGGATGGCATCTTCTTCTTGGGGTACTTAGCATTTGGGGACTCTGGGAGGATACCCCCGTGGGAACTGGGTGTGCTGACACTGTGGGACCACGGAAGGACCAAGGCCCCAGAAAGACCCTGGGTCAGACCACCCAAATGAAGCCCAGGCACAGCGGGAGGCTCTGAGGAGGCGCAGGACGCAGGGAGCAGAACGGGGAAAATGAAGGGGAGCCGCAGGTTCAAACTGTCCCTTCCCAGGATTGCGTGACAGCTCGCGACAGCTCAGCCACTTCTTTTTCATAAGAAGGAGGTCGTAACTTTGGGAGGTGGAGGTGATTACAGCTGGGATGCTAGCCGCCCGCCTCCTGCCTCCAGGGCTCTCAGCTCTCTCTTCTCCCCAGGCCTCTTTTCTTGCTCTCCTCCGCACTGCCTCTCCTCCCTGCAGGTCCTGGTTCCGCCTCCTTGACTTGGTCTTTCTGGTGCCAGCTGAGCCCTGGAAGGGCCACAGCCTCCCCTCCAGCCCCTCTGCCACGGGGTGGCTGCTGTCTCCTTTGGATCTTTTTGCGGTCTGGGCTTGCTGTTCCTCTCAACAGTAGTCAGGAAGCCCTTACCCCAAAAAGTATCTGCGGGAGGCCTCGTCCACAGGGGAGGTCACCCCAAGGGTTCCAGGTGAGTCACAGCAAACCCAAGGACAGTGAGTGGTACTGGGGGTCTCCTGACTCTCCCTTAGACTTGCTGGGTGACCTTAAGTCCAGCACTGAGCCTCTCCGGGCCTCAGTTATGCCACTCTTTTCATCATTTACCAGTGGGCAGTGTCAAATGAGAGACTCCACAGGTACGAAAAATAAAGGAGTGGCTCAGTTACAAGCCAGGCAAAACCGCTTTGGTGGATGAAGGCCACACGGCTCTCCCAGTGTTCTGTCCTCTGTATACAGATGATCTCCTTCTAAGATCCTTTTGGGAATGACCCCTCCCACACCATAGACACTTCTGAGTGGGTTGTCACTAAGAGGCCCTGTCGAGTCTGACCCGCAGACTTAACTGAGCGACAGATGAAAAACATACACTGACACAGGCTTGTCTGTCAGCACGGCCAGGGCTCCGCTACCACAGCCAACAGCTGCCTCCGTCAGCCGGTGATACTCAGTTTTATTTATTTAGTACAGATTAAATAATAAAAGTCTTAAGTAAACACCATTAGAGGGTTATTAACATTTCTGACCCCCAGTAGAGAGCAGTTTCATCCATGAATGTTCAAAGGTTGGTCTTAGGACTACATGAGTAAATAATCTATTGAGATAAATGCCTTTACATTCCTTTGTTATTTGTTCTAAGCTATTAGTTCAAGGTAAAAGGATTAGGCTGCCTTCAACCACAACTCCCTCTCAAGGCTTTTGCAAAACCTTCCAGCCTTCTAAGAAGGTTTACGTCTATTTTACAATTTTTCCTACCACCTTGACGGATCTCCTACGAGGTCCTGCCCTCTTCTGCCCACTGGGTGGATACAAGAATTGAAACCTGTGAAGGATATGAGATTGGGAACAAAATAATTGATGCTGATTGATCCCAGCAGCTGTATGGCGAGATGATGATGAACTTCCGCTGCCTGCGTCACTGGCCTGCCTAATGTCTGCCCTGCCCTTGCCTGGATCTTCAGCTGCACCCTTCATCCTGTGAACCATCCCCAAATCCTTCAAATAAAGGCATTGATTGCTTGTTAAGAGTGAATAATATTGCTTACTGAGGATGCAGCGACCTCTAGAGATAGGAGGTGGAATTGCACACCACAGAAAAGAGGAAGGACTGAATTACTGTGCCTAGGGGAGGTCCCACGGGTGTCAGCCCCAGGGGATGGGAGACTGATGGGGGACAGAGCTGAGAGTAGGGGTCATATATAAGAGTTCAGTTGGGGCCTAAGGAAACTTCCCCAAAGGTGAGAACCATGCTGGGATGAAGGACAGAGGAGGACCTATATGATATGGAGAGATTTGAAATATAGCTAAGTGGAATTTTCACCTCTGGATGCCCCCGTAATCCCAGCACTTTGGGAAGCCGAGGTGGATAGATCACTTGAGGTCAGGAGTTCAAGACCAGCCTGGCCAACATGGTGAAACAGGACTCTTGCTAAAAATACAAAAATTAGCTGGGCATAACGGTGCACGTCTGTAATCCCAGCTACTGGGGAGGCTGAGGCAGGAGAATCACTTGAACCCGAGAGACAGTGGTTGCAATAAGCTGAGATCGTGCCACTGCACTCCAACCTGGGTGACAGAGCTAGACTCCATTTCAATAAATAATTAAAGGGGGCTGAAAACGGGTTGTGCCAATTACAGGTGGTTTAGATTCCCTGTTCCTCCTCCTCATGCCGGGTAGCTGGGTGATCAACACTGCAGCCACAGTGAGGCGACAGCAGGTCGGGGATGACCCATGCAGACATCCATCTCATTGTCCACCACTGACAATGAGATGGATGACCAGGCTCCCAAGTGCCATGGTGCTCTCCGACCAGGATATGGCCAGGGCCAGGGACCCTCCTTATCTGGAATCCTCCCACTCAGCCCTGGGGTGGCCACTTGTGCCAAGACAGCCCAAGTTGAGGGGTATGGCGTCAGGCATCCACAAGCCCTTTATGGCTGCAGAGCCACAGCCCTCAAGAAACAAGGCCCCTGGAAGATTCCTTCCCCATGCAGAAGCTGCAGGAGGCCATTTTAAGGCAATATGTGAGCTGCCGTGTCGCCCACACTGAGTTCAGAGGTGCTAAAGGATCCTGAGTGGGGCTGGAGGTTTGCTGTGGAGGTTCAGGAAGAAAGACCCGGTTTATGGCTCCAGGAACAGTCACTGCAGGTGTGTGAGGCAAGCAGAGCTCCTACCAGGTGACAGCCAGACAGCAGTGGGAGAACAAACGATGGCGATGAGCAACACTGCAGGGCTAAATAATGCCTGTGACCACGGAAGCTCCTGCCCCTGATGCTACCCGGACCCTCCCTATCCCACCCAGCTGCAAAGCAGCTCTTCCTTTGCCACCTGCTGCCAGCATGTGGGTGGGAATGTGTGTGCAGCTCAAGGGTGGCATCGTGTGGTCGCAGTGGGGTAGTGCACCTCACAGCTTCCAAAGAGCTTCATTGTGTGGAGTCACTCAAGGAATTTTGAGTCTATGTGCTAGATTCTGTGCTGGGACTGCAAGTCCTGCAGATCTTTCCTAACAGAATCAGAGTTTCTGCGAGGAGCAGTCCCGAGGAGTGCAGAGCCTGAAAAGGGAAGGGGAGAAGAGAAGGAGAGGTAAAGGGAGGGTTGCCGGAGCCTCTTAGTGAGCGTGTCTACAGCACCTTTCAAAGGTGGGCACCTTTCAAAGTGGGTTCTGGGTCCACATCCCGGGCATTTGATGACTTAGCCTTTGCTTGAACCTCTCAAATTGCAACTCAAATCCCTGCCACTCTAGGGAACCTATTCCCACCAGAGGGAGAGGGACCTGGGAGAGGCAATATTCCAAAAAGTCTCCTGATCCCAGTGCTAATGGAAAGAACCCAGACTTCAGAATCAGTCCAATCTGGATTCAAATCTAGGTTGTCCCTGCACCAGCTGTGTGACCTCGGGAAAGTCTTTAGCCCTCTCTGTGCTTCTGTAAAACAGGGATAATAATGCCCGCCTGACTGTGTGGTGGGTCCTAGTCAGTGAAATAATGTCAGGACAATGGCTGGTCCCTACCGTAGAAAGCAAGGGTCCCGACTCTGTGCCCGGGGATCAGCTCTGGGGGGCATCTGCTTGGTTGCTCAAATGCGGCTGTCCTTCCACAGCTGTGTAAATGTGTCCGGCGTTTGGCAATCAGTTGTTTGAAATCAGCCATGGCGTTTTGCCCCCTACTTTACTCCCAAGCAGGCTCCTCACCTGCCAAGAGCCTGCGGATGTGTGCTGAGGGCTGAGGGCGCCATGGCGAGGAGCAGCTGCCAGACCTGGAGTGAGCAGTGGGAGAAACTGGACTTCAGAATAATCAGATCTGGATCTGAATCTCAGGTCCTCCCTGCACTGGCGTGTGGTCTCCAGAGAGGTCTTACGGGCAGGAAGGACCTGGGCCCTGTGGGCTGAGAGGCTTGGGGAAGCCATGGGGGATCCGGGTCCCCTCAGCTCTCTCCGAGAACTGGCAGCAGTGTCAGAACTCAAGAGCTGGAGAGGCTCAGGCCGGAGGGACTGTCCTGATCTGCAGGCCATCATGGCCTTTCAGGGAGGTAGGCAGGAGATGGAGAGGTGGCACAAAAGTGACAAAGGAAAGGCAGGAATGAAAGGGAAGAAAGTTGGGGGAGTGTGGAAGGCAAAATGAGAAGTTTCTCCGAGTGGCTGATGTCACCCTCTCTGACTGTTCAAGGTGCCAGCAGGGGCACCTTGGCAAGGTGTCCCCTCTCCCAGGAAGCTGAGACCCAGGAATGGATCCAAGCTGGGCCACATGGAGGGAGTGGCCTGAACTGGTCTCCATCCTGCTCTGGGCCTGGGTTTCTGCATTTGTGAAATGAGAGGAATGTGCTGGATCAGATACAATCCCCTCTTCTGCCAGGCCCACCCCACACTTGGTAGGAAAGCAAGGACTGGGACCCCAACAGCTGTCCTTGAGAGTGGGAGCCACTGAGGGCACAGGAAGGAGTTTTCTGGGGAGGCAGGCGAGGAAGCAGGCAGGATGGGAATGCCAGGCTCTTGGGGGAAGGAACCAGATAAATTACCAGCAAGGAAAACCTATAGGTTTCCCCAAAGTACAATTTGAATAGAAATGTCAAATGCACCTGGAGTTATTACACCCTGTAATCCTAATGACATATAATCCTATACACCAACAGGATAATATCACGAGTGTGTGCAGCAACACTGCCACGTGGTAATCCCGCCTACCTCCCTGGATGATCTTCCACATCCGGCAGAGCCCACACAGCCCTCTTTGTTCTTCCCAGAGGTGGCCTCTTCGGGCTGGACCTGGGGGAGGTGACAAGGGAAGTGAAAGTCAAAGAGCCCAAAGAATGAAGCTGGCATGCTGCTAGTCGGGGGATGGACAGATGTCGTCTGGTGCTTTCACTTTTCACCTAACCTGAATGCCTCCTAAGTCCCCTGGAAGTTGCCAACCCCACATCAGCCTCTGTGTTCAGGATCCTCTTCTCTCCTCCCCCTATCTCCATCCCTAACCCTTTCCTTCTCTCTCATTCTTCCTTCCCCATTTCCTTCCCTTTTTTCCCCAGCATCTGTGCTCTGTTCTGCCAGGAGCACTCTCAGAGACATGGTTTGTTCTCTTGAAGTAGGAACACCCGCTAGGATTCATGTGCACCCATCCTGTCCATCTGTGCTCCTTCGCTGCCAGACCTGGAGCCAGGGAAGGTGGCAGTGGACTTTTGCCTGAGGCAGCGGCAGTGTGATTGGTGGTCTGTGGTCCGGGGGCATTTGGCATAGGGCACAGAACTTTCAGGCCAGTGCACCAGCCCAAAACAGAGCCCTGGTTTGTTTTATCTACCGTATGGCCCATGCTGGTCCCCATGACCTAAGCCTTGTTTGCTGTGAGACAGGGAATCTCTTTCTAGGCTCCTTTTAAGGAGGTGAGATTTTTCAGGTCAAAGTTCCAGGGTCATTCACACAATCCAGGAATCTCCTCCCAAACTCCATACTCCTATGCTCACCCCTCCCAGGCAGTGATTCTTGAAGTATGAATTGCTTCAAGACCAGCAACTCAGCACTACCAAGGCTCCTATTAGAAATGCAAATTCTGCTGGGTGTGGTAGCTCACACCTGTAATTCCAGCACTTTGAGAGGCTGAGGCAGGCAGATCACTTGAGGCCAGGAGTTTGAAACCAGCCTGGCCAACGTGGTGCAACCCCATCGCTACTAAATACAAAAATTAGCTGGGCATGGTGACGCACACCTGTAATCCCAGCTGCTCGGGGGGCTGAGGCAGGAGAATCACTTGAACCCAGGAGGCAGAGGTACAGTGAGCTGAGATTGCACCACTGCACTCCAGCCTCCAGCCTTTGCAATAGAGCAAAACTCCATCTCAAAATAAATGAATAAAAAAGCAAATTCTTAGGTCACAGTGCCAAGAGTGGCTGGAGACATCTTGTATCACTTCAGGAGAACCAATATACATGTCCCTTTCCCTAACTCTACATTTAGTGACAGTCACACTGGGGGGCTTCAAATCAACCATGGCGGGAGTGTTTACACTAGGGAACATTACACATCAGTGCTCATTTTTCTTTCTGAGAGCCCATTGCTAAACAGTTCCCAGCACACCACCGGCCCCTACCCAGACCTACTGAATCAGAGCCCTGAAGTTGGAGCCCCACGATCTGTGTTTTAACAAGCTTTCCAGGTGATTCTGATGCACACTCAAGTTTAAGAATCGCTGTCGCATGGGCCAGCTCTAGTGGAATCATAAGAATGAAAGGAAGGTGGGGGTGACCAAGGAGTAGAATTTTACAAGGAAACTTTGGAAATGGTAAAGAAAGAAGAGGGGAAGTAAACCAGGGCTTGGAAAACTCCTCTATGCAGAGGGGCAAGCAGGCACTTGCCAGGAGATCCCCCTGGAGGGAGATGAGA